GTCAGGTATGCATCACATTTTAAATGATGTTATACCTGGGACGGGTAACTATTGGTACATATGTTGGTAATACCGTATGGAAGTAAAATAAATGAAATCAAATGGTATATAATCATAACATTAATCATGATATTGCTAATAATGATGATCATGATGTTAACGATTACGAATAAAAATTATACTAACGATAACGAAAGAAAATGATAACGATAGCAAAAATATGATAACGCTAGTGATAATGATAATAATATAATAATATAATAATAAGAGTAATAACAGCACGCAGAGCAAAACAGCAATAGTAATAGCAATAATAATGATTCAACGATAACACTTTGTAAACTTTATAACATGGCACATAAAACATTACATGTAGCTGATTCATAGGCATATATATATCTGGCACTGAAAGGGCGACAGATTACGAAGTGACATTTTTCCTGATACGGTTGATAAGGATATTGAAGTGCCTGCCATATCCAGCAGCGAGGCCTTCCAACAAAGAACGTGCATCGGGAACAGTGAACAGTGGCTCCTCGTTTATACAGTGGAATACAAGAAAACAGTTTGCCTAATTTCCTGGCACTGCAGTCAAAGGTTAAGAATAGAACAATCTATATAAATTAATAATGTATTTAGTCACCTGCATTGTACAGAGCATTGTTTATCCGCTATCAGTCGGAGATGACATCCTCCTGGTACAGTACAAGGGCGTGCGACAAGAATATTTTGTGAGACAGGGGTACTTTAGAAGGGGAGGAAATGAAAGCACTGAAAAGTTCAAAGAGTTTCGAAATTTTAAGCGTTTTTTGAGCAGCATCTGTAAGTTCGTGATGAATAAGCGAGGGATATTATTTTTTATGTGATTTCTCAAATTCATTGGAGTATTCAGTTGGACATATTTTTCTTATTTGTGTGATATATGTCAAAGCCATTACAAATCTGATATAATCCGTTGTCTGAAAAACTATGTAGCAATGATAATCGAATCATCTTATTTTTAGTCCCGGCGTGATATGTGTATATACCGTTACGGTAGCTATACATCTTACAAGATAGAATAAAGCAAAGTACATGTGAAATTCCTTGCTTAATGCACCGCTTTACATGTGTGAAAGTAGATAACCGTGATAACCATATGTGAACGGAAATGCGGGCGTTATTTGTTTCAAAAGGCATTATTTTCTTATCTTCTGTTATTAAGCCTAACGTCGACATCAATAAATAAGTTACATCATATACAATATGTACATGATACCCTTTCGTAACTCTCTCTCTCTCTCACACACACACTATTTTATAAGCCTACTATAAATATTTTCTCTTTATGGCCTGAGATCTTAATATGTTGTACAACAAAGATAACAATGTGCTAGAGCTTAAGAGCTGGCCGTTGTTGAAGGGAGACGCCCAGACTCACCGAAAGGCGATTTCGTTCCAGGGGAGAGTTTGTGGAACGCAGAACCCAGCAAGACCCGGGAATCATGCAGAATCCCAAGCCTTCTGGTGCCTTTGGTAAGTGTGCAAGATACTTTTCAAGTTCGTGGTGTTTAGTATAGGGCGCGCGCTTACACACTCACACAAACAAACAAACACATGTATATATGTAAATAGATAGATAGATGGTTAAATAAATAGATATATGAATACATATACGGGGTGTGACTTAAATACATGGCATGCGAATCGATGCGCCAAAGTTTGAACACACACACAGTATTATACTTGATCTTGGCACTAGCCCGAATCGGATACTGAAACCTTAATAGGTTTTTCTTTATTTGCTAAAATATTTCTGTCATAAAAGTCGAAAATACGATCTCACACTATTTGTCTTAGTGCTCCCTTTGCGTAGAATGTATTTCTTTTTACTTTTAGTATCGCTTTGCAATCCTCCCCCAGATTACACGCAATGACACTACTGTATAGCGTAAAAATAACCTCTGCGTAATATAATATACACCATGAAATATAACTCCTTGAAATTACTCTGGAAACTGATAAAGGAAAAATATATCTGCGTGTTCTGGTCCACCGCAGGGAAAGGAGAACGTCGCGAGAGAAGTGCCTGGCGCCACCTGCTGCTGCTTCTGTGGAAGAGCTTGTTGCTGCGGCGGAGGCACTGGCTCCTCACGCTTCTCGAGGTCATCCTGCCCGTCGGCCTCTTCTCGGTCATGCTCTTCATCAGACTCATCCCGGGATCCAACTTCTCCACGTACCATTTTAACGAGGTCAGATGGGTATTCAGCCGATGTGTAGGTCTATATAGGCCTGTTTAAAGGACTACATGTTTCATACGGTTTTTCCGTGTGTGAGTGTGTGTATGTGTACGTGTGTGTGTGTGTGTGTGTGTGTGTGTGTGTGTGTGTGTGTGTGTGTGTGTGTGTGTGTGTGTGTGTGTGTGTGTGTGTGTGTGTGTGTGTGTGTGTGTGTGTGTGTGTGTGTGTGTGTGTGTGTGTGTGAGTGTGTGTGAGTGTGTGTGTGTGTGTGTGTGTGTGTG